GCCCTGCTTAGCTCCAGGTTTCATTTGGTTTTAAATGTTTATGTAGATAAGTAGTAATAATGCTTACAAAAGAAAAGTCTTGAGTTTGAGAGATGGTGGGGAGGCTTGGGAAGAGGTGGACACTGAAAAGGAGTGAAGCTGTGAATATGGCACCCCCTGACTGTTTCTGAGGTCTGGCCACCAGGCTCCAGCAGCCCTCAGTTGCTTCTCTAAGGCCCACCCTTGACCTGCTGAAGTGTTTGCAGCAGAGCCAGGAGCTGACAATGCAGAGCTCTCTGAAAAGAGGAAGACACTGCGTCCTTACTGTAGAGATGGGAGCGGAAGACACCCCAGAGAAAGCCGTGCCCATCACCTAGTCCGGACAGTTTTCTCCAGCAGGAGGAGACTTGGAGTACCACATATACACCGCTCTTCAAAATCAGCTGGGCATGTGGGTCATAGCCCGAGAGGAAGGAGCTGGGGGTCGCCTCCTGTGGATTATGACAGTCTGTGGGGCTGAAGCCTTGGCCACGTTCGCTCTGCTGGCCTTTACGGGGAGGGGCAGTGGAGATGGCTTCAGCCTCCACAGACTCTAGAATGTACAGATAGAAAGTGACCTTGACAAATCATCGAGGCAGGGTCAGGAGGGTCACCTGGAGGGAGACACTGAGGGTGAGCGTGGAGTAGTGCCTGGCAGTGAGGACACATGGATAGCGGTCACTCAGGTGATTAACAAGGTAGGGGCAGGAAGCTCTGTGTGCCAGGAAGTGCTGTGGTGGTGTGAACAGCAGTGATTCCCACAGACTCAGGTTTGAATGCTCAGTCAGTAGGGAGTGGCATTGCTAGGAGGTGTGCCCTTGTTGGAGTAGGTGTGGTCTTGTTAGAGGAAGCGTGTCACTGGGGGTGGGCTTTGAAGTTTTAAATGCTCAAGCCAGGCCCGGTGTCTCTCTCTTTCTTCCTGATGCCTGACAATCCAGATGCAGAACTCTTGGTTCCTTCTCCAGCACCATGTCCACCTGCATGCCATCATGCTTCCTGCCGTGAATAATGGAGTAAACCTCTCACCCTGTAAGCCAGCCCAGTGTCATGGTGCCTCGCCACAGCAATACAGACTCCAATGCACACAGATCCTTACTGCGCTCACTAACCTGCAGTTTGTTCCAGTCCTTGCCACTGCTGCCACAGATGGGGCTCTGTCGGGGTCTTCGTCCCTGTGAGGGAGTCTCTGTCCTCGTTGCTGGCCTGCAGCTGGGTCCAGGCCCTGCAGTGTCCTTATCTAAGTCATTGTGTCCTCATCCTGCAGAAGGGTCCCCACCCTCGTGGCTGGCTCTGTGGATGGTTACCCCGCAGAGGGGTGTCTGTCGTGTGACAAAACTTTTCCTGGGGAGACAGGGAATTCATGACAGGCCAAAATATGGATCCAGCGTGGTGAGGCATGAGTTTTGTCAGGGTTGCTTACAGGAATACGGGTGAGGGCTTACAGGGGCAGGAGTGACTTAAGGACAGCAGCCCCACCAAGGCCCGCCCCACACAGGGAGTGACAGAAGCTGGGACCCGGGAGCGCACAGCACGGCCTCCGGAGAGTGTCCTTTCCAGGGGTCTCCCAGGGAGCCAGTCTCAGAGTCTTCCAGGCAGCTCACCTCTGTCCCCACAGAGGGGCCGCTTTCGTCTGATCAGTTGGGGCGCCCTGGACAGCGTGGGTCAGAACTGCAGCACCTCTGCCGTCTGTCTGGGTTGGAAATCTGGCTGTGGGGATGCAACCACGAGGGGTCGCTGTTGCTGCTTCTTCCTCGCTGGCCACTTGAGTGACCACATTCGGCTGAAGACAGTGGAGAATAGTTCAGTTTTTAAAATGCAGCCGCTGGACTCACTGTGGGGGCTGGGTTAGCAGGGACCAGGTTTCCCAGGACAGCGTGTTCTGCTGCAGTGTCTCGGTGCTTTCGGAGTTAGCTGGGCGTCTGGCTTCCCGCCGCACTCTGGGGTAATATGTAGATACAGCCGGTGGCCCGCCCCCCCCCCCCCCCCCCCCCCCCGCGAGCACGTGTGGTGTCTTCCGGGGTACAGCGCTCTCCAAACCTAAATGCACACTATAGCTCATTGCTCTGGGCCCTGGAAGGAAACAAGTGGGCTCCTCGCCCCAGCCCTGGTAAATGCCACTTGTGCATGCAAGAATTCTGCTTATGTTTTTTGCACAAGTTCTTGCCTTCTGCATAAAGGTCTCAACACAACCTCTAGTAAAAGCTTTGCAGGGACTGTAACTGTGACTCCTGTCCTGACTCCTCTCCCTTGTGAATCACGAATGCATTTCTATGCCATTAAAGAAACTGAGATCAAATGATTCTTTGTGCATTCTGTTTGCCCAAATCACCTCACAGATGGTTGGACAGGGCGATGTGCTTGCTGTGAGGATGCAGCCAAGTTTTTCCCCCCCATCATAGGAAATCAGAGGAATCAGAGGAAGATGTGGAATTGAGTCCTAAGTCTGCAGGTCTTCCTGAAGAGCTAATGGAGAAAAGTAATGAGTCATGTGAAAATAGGCAAAGGTGATAGCAAGAAGCGAAACTGAGGCGAAATTCTGACAGAAGTACAGAATGAATTTGGCATTTAGTTCTTGGAACTCTTGGCTATCACAACGCACCCACAGTGGAGACAGAGCTGTCTCATCTTGTGAGTTTCCATCAGCCCAGGGACAGGGCTGGCCAGTCATTATTCATACAGGAAGATACCCCCTCCCTGATGGGTTCTCCATGGGTCTCTATACTGGACAACAAGTGACCATATTCTCATCAGATGCACAGTGAGGCTGTGTGTGTCTCTCAGAACGTCCTTCACTCAGACTGAGGACTTCTGGGTGGATCTAGGCGAACCCAGGCCAGTTTGTTTGCCTGCACTTCCTGGAAGTTTGACTTGATGTTTTGAGCTGTTCTTTGGAAGGGCATGCGATCACCAGAAGTAGAAAATTAACATCAGTAGAAACCCTTCCTGTCTCCATGTGTGCTGCTCTGTGAGGGGACTGGGAATGGAAGTGGCTGGGGAAACAAGCCAGCTCCCTGAGCATAAGCAGGTTGGGAAATGGGGTTAGCCATAGAAAGAACATGAGACACATGCCTTTCTGGTCCTGCCACCTGCCTGGTTCCCCAGAAAGTCCTTATCCAGCCGGACATCTGCCATGAGGCAAGGACGTCTAAACCCATGTGGTTCCAAAATACCAGAATTCCAGCTGAAGGACTGAGGCATTTCCACAGGCAGCCGCCTCACGCATGAAAGGGGAAAACAGCAGACAGGCAATATCTCTGTAAGCCACCTGAGCAGGAGGTATCACATCAGGTGCCATGGAGGTTGGAGAGAAGCCAGAGCAATGGCCTCCTTGAGACTCAGGAGGCCACTAGGAAAAGTGACATCTGTGTGTGCACACATATGTTTGATTTAGGGCTGTGCATATGTGAATGTGCAGATTTGTGAATGCTTGTGTATGGATGAATGTGTCTGAGTTGAGCCTGAGCTTGTATTGTGTGTGTGTGTGTGTGTGTGTGTGTGTGTGTGTGTGAGTGAGTGCTGCACACAGAACTGAATGAAGCTGCATGCCTGTGTGCATGTGTGGGTATACATGTTTACATGTTGAGACAGAGGCCATGTACAGTGCCACAGACCAGGAGAGAATGGCACTGTGAGAGGGTTGGGCATTTAGGAAACAGAAATGTTAGGAGTTGAAGTAACTTTTGCCTTTGGGGGCTCTATGGGACCTTGGCCACAGGAAGCAAACATATGAAGTAAAGCTTTATCCTCTTCAAAACGCCAGGAAAAACCTGTGTTTGTTCCTTTAAAGAGGGAGAAGCTGGCTTCTCACCTCTAGATCACCATTAGTAAAGGTGGCTTTAGGCAAACACATTACTTCTAGCTTCACTGCTGTGAGCGAGCCGGTGGTGGCTGCCTCCCCTCCCCCTCTCCCATCTCCAGCACTTTCCACTCTGACATGTGGACAGCAGGAGTCTGTTTCCATACCTCATGGTAGGGGTGAGCCCCACCAGGGTCTGGAGAACCTGGGGCCATCCCAAGGTGTGCTCAGAGCACAACCCTGATGGCTCAGTGATTGTGTCACTGTCCACAGAAGCGTGGGCCCGCTGTGCTGGGGCTACGGGAACTGTGGAGGGGTGCCGTAGGGGGCATCACTGCGGAGCAACCATTGGGGACAGTGTGGCCGTGTGGCAGTGACAGTGTGCAGATGGCCACCCCATGAGGCAAGCACTAGTCTCTGAAGTAGTCTTCTGTGTGAGCCAGAAAAGGTGATTACAACGTGACACCCCACCCACCCCAAAAGTGTATCTCAAACTGGACTTTTTGTTTGAAAAAGACTACCTGAGGTCCAAATCAATCGGAAGGTGTGGCTTGAGGATGACAGAGCTGTCATCACAGCAGGAAGGGAAAGAAGCAGCCACAGCAGTGCTCACTGACTCCCCGGCCCCGCCCCCCCCCCGCCCCTACAGGCCGCCCCCCCCCCCCCCCCCCCCCCCCCCCCCAAGAGCTTTCCATCCATCCTGTGACCTCTGCACTCAGTTCCAGGGTGGTCGGCGCTTCTGTGCACAACTAACCCTAAATGTGATTCCCACTTTGTAGTCACTAGTCAGAAGCAGGTTTCACATGGAAAGTGAGAATTACAGAGGCAGGGACTAGAGCAGGAGAGGGTTTGCCTGGCACGCATGAGGCACAGGCTCCAGCGCAGGTCTTAAACATGTAAATTACGAAATGAAGAGATGTCAGTGAAAGGAGGAAAAGTTCCGCTGTGCGGCTGTTGTGCCAGGGCCACAGAAGCTCCCTTCCCGCTTGCACGCTCTGCCGTGCCCCTGTCTGGTGCTTCTGAGTTCTAGTGCTCTCTGTCTGAAGTGTGCTCCATCTCATGTCATTAGGAAATGACACGTGTGAATGAGGTGTGTCTCATGTCATCAGCAAACAGCACCGAGCACGGGGCCTTCCGCTGGCTGCAGATGCAATGCCAAGCTCGCTCTGCCTTCCTGTTTCCACAGATGGCATGTTCGGGAGATGCCAGAAGGGTCCGGCGATGGACGCACGCCGATATGACATGTCACCCGGAGCCCTGCTGCACCTCAGGCTCACCTTACAGAAGCTGTCGCAAGCAGGTAGGCTGAGTGTCACTTCCTGCCCCGTGCTGCACAGGGTGCTGGGAGCTGGGGTTCTGGTGTCCATGTGAGGCCTAACCCCACCAGGGAGGGCTCTGCATGGAGTATGTACACTCGAGTTAGGAGCTCTGGCTTGCTGTGTGCACAGCAACTACAGAACTCGCAGGGCCAACATAAGGGGCGCCGAGGCTGCTTTGGTGAAGCTGGGCTATGACTGCTGTCAGGCCAGTCCCTGTGTCAGCCCAAGGGTGCTGCTTGGTTCATGCGCTCCTACCGTGCTGTTGCACGGCATTCCTGTCACCGGTTTCCGGGCTCCTGAGAAGGCAGCTTTTACATTTTCAACAATTAACACTTTTATAGCTATTACATGCACGTCTTGAAGGGACTGGTATCAGGACAAGACACCCACATTCTTGTGACAAAGGAGATTATTTGTCTTTACTGATAATGGAGGGGTCAGCGTGTGTGGCCCCTGACAGGATGGTGTCATTCCTATGAGAAGTAGCTAGAGAACAGTCTCTAATATGGGAGGATGGGGAGGAGGTGTTTCAGACTTTTTAGGCAGGAGTGTAGTGGATCTGGGGATGCTGAGGCAAAGGGGTCAATATGGAGGACTTCTAGGAGGTCAGCTAAGAGAAGTTCAGAGGAAGAGAACCACAGATGGTGGAAGGGATCTGAGTCCTTTCTAAGTTACGGGCTGAGAAAGATATTGGTGGGAAAATTTGTGAGAGGGATCCCAGTGTTAGAATTTATTAGTTAGAGGTGAGCAGAGGGGCTGTGGCCAGAGTGCATAGAAGGTGTTTAAAATAGAGTTCTGGAGAGGTGAGGCACGGGGTCAAAAGTCAGTCATGTTTATGCATTTTGGACGTGTAAGGATGGAAAGGTTTGGATAGACATGGGTGGCAGAGGGGCAGAAAGGACGTTTGACAGTTAAGGAGTTGTTTGTGAGTGGGAAGGAGGTTCAGAAGTGGATGGTAAAGTGAGTGTATCCAGGGTCATCTAGGGATCTGTGAGCAGATGATGCTGATCATCTGAGGTTTCAGGGGCCAGGTCTGGACACTGGAGCAAGATCAGTGTAAGGCTGGAGGAACTGAGAGGGACTTTCAGGCTTGTCTCGAATAACCTTCTGGACCCTTTGAACATTAATTGGTTTGAGAGCCACTCCCCTCAGGCCAGAGAGGAGACACTTTTAAGCTATCACAGGGTGGAAAAATGGTCCCTGGCCTGGAAAACAGAATTGCAGTTGTGGCCCCAATGAGGGTCTGTGTGGGGACTGTGGTGGCCCCAGTGGCATACTTGCCATCTCTGGTGTGTTTGGTCTCCGTGTTCATGGGCCTTCTCTCAGACATGTTTGTGTTCCCAGGGAGTAGGTCATTAGGGAGGATCATGTAGAGGCCATGGAAGGTAAGGCCATAGGGCTACGTGAGGCATCTGAATTGCTGGATGAAGATGGTGGGGTCTGAGGTAAGAGAATCACACGGTTTTCAACCTGGGCAAGTTCACTGAGGGAGGAAGGAACATAGCACAAGTATGCCTTTCCACTTTGCCACTGTTCCTCTGAGGGGCAGGACTGAGTGAGGGGCTGAGAGCAGTTTGTCCCTAGAAGGAGTGTGAGGAGGTCTGAAACAGGAAGGGAGCTTGTTGGTGTGGACTGGGTTGAGTGGAGAAGTGGGGGAGGGGGAGGGAGACCTGAGGACATAGAAGCCAATCTTCCTGGCCTTGTGGATATGTGGATAGAGTTGGGAGGGTGGCAGATGAGGGAGACTGTTGGGAAGGCAACTGACAAGGGTGAGTTTCATCTGCTGGGTTGAAGGATGGAGTTTCAGTTCCAGGAGCAGAAGAGTCAGGGGAGGGGCTGAGGACTTAAGAGCAAGAAGGACATGGGGTGGTGAGCAGGAGGCACAGGGAAAGCCTGGAGCAGAGACAGGATGCAGCAGAGACACAAAGGATCTCTGCCCATTTTCCTGTGTGCTCACAAAAGTTGTAAAGCTCCTGACTAATGTCAGGACCCAGAGAGCCATTGGATGGCCATTTAGATTGATGATGAAGACCAAGCCTGGGAGCTACAGTGGACAAGCTTAGGAGATTTGATGGCTGAGAGTTTATCCACTTGTGATTCTGGAGGAGACACCCTAAAAGCAATTCAGTCAGGATGGAGGGGGCAGAAGCTATCACCCTTGTTTGGTCGCTGGGTCAAGGTTGGAAGAGCAGGAATCACCATGTACCTAGAAAGACAAAACACAAGATCTCTGGGACAGAAGAATCGCCACCTAGCATCTGTCACCAAGAGAGAGACCCCAGTGGGTCTGAGGAAGAATTTGAGGCCTGTCAACAGGCCTGTCGACAGTGGGAGGACTCTGGATTCTTGTGGTGTAACCACGAAGAGGGAAAGGCAAAGCTCCTACCAAACCAGACTGGACAAAATGTGCCTAGCCAGGAGCCAGTCCACTCTAGTCCCCGTGACCAGTGAAGGTTGCTTGGGATGCCATATCTCCAGTCCAACAGGACAGATTGGTGACACCAGACACTCAATGGCTGTCACCAAATAACCTGGGGACAGTTTAGGATAACGGGGGTGGGAGGACCTACCACTCAGCTGCTGTGAGATGAGGAATCTGGTACCAGAAGGACCAGAACATGTGACAGAGTTTGGAGTAGTTACTGGTCAATCTGGGTATCAGCATCACAAAGGATCCTTACAGAGACCCAAATTAGGCACAAGCCACACCCAAATACCTATTTTCACAGAGTGGTCCTTTTTAAAGCAAGGACTAAAGGTTAAAGTGGCTTCTGGAACATGTGAAAAGGGTTGGGGGTCATTACTGGCCAATCCTAGGCACAGCATCCACCAGTATTGGCATACACACTCCAACACCAAGTTCTTAGCACAAAGAAGTCATCAAAGGACAGAGGGCAGGGAATAAGAGACAAAGACAGAGCTAGGCATCGCTGGTGCATGCCTTTAATCCCACACTCAGGGAAGCAGAGGCAGGAGAATCTCTGTGAGTTCAAGGCCAGCCTGGTTTACAGAGTGAGTTACAGGATAGCCAAGGCTATACAGAGAATCCCTGTCTCAAAAAAACTAAAAATAAAAAATAAAAAAAATGAGAGAGAGAGAGAGAGAGAGAGAGAGAGAGGCAGACAGACAAACAAAGATAGGAGATAGAGGATGAGGGAGAAGGGAAAAAGGAACAAGGATGAAGGAAAGAAATGTTTGTCCCAGGGAACAAGGATTCACTCTAGATGTAGAGGAGACCAATGTGACCCTTAGGCAAATGGCAGTTTATAAAGGTACAAGGGGAAACCCTATGTTAGGATGTGGTGTTTAATTTTGATTGGGCATGTTAATTAAGGTAGCCAAAAGTGTGCTTTCGATTGCTGGACTTTAATTCTTTGATAGCTGGACCTTGGTAGTCAGCCTCAGAAGGAGTGTATTTGTCTAATTTCTAAATCTAGGGGCACCACATCATGAAGGCCAGAGTTTGACAGCTTGCTGCTAAGATGGTCATGTCCCACCTAGCCCCAGATGAGAGGGTGCTGTGTCACAGGGTGGACACAGGGTAAAGCTCCTGGGGAGAAGAGCCCTGTGTCCTAATGACACGACTTACCTAGCACCCCAGGGAACAAGGTGGGAGGTACCCTGGATGCGGGGACAAACACGTGTTCTCCTGCAGGCTACACAATCCTTGGGAGGCTACAGTGCTCGCATTGTGGTCACAGCACTCTTCAGGGGCTGCAGTGCATCCTGGGAGTCACATTTCTCCCTGGTAGGGCTACAGCATTCTTGCAATGGTCATGACGTTTGCTGGGTGCTTCCCAGGGGCCAGATGCGTTGTTCTGTGAAGAGTCTGTGGTTAGTAAGACTTGGAGGCACTCTCCTTTTAGAAACTGACGGTGTATTGTCTTGTTAGAGGTACTGGAATGTTCTGTGGACTAGTTTAGGTTAACTCATATACTACAGGTCATTAGTGGAAATTAATGTTTCTTGTGGAAATTAATTCTTGTTTCTTTTTGTTTCTCATCTACGTTCCTTTCTCCATTGTCCACCACACTCTCTTAGTCATCAGTGGTGTCCTCTTGCCCATGGTTCTCTGTGTGGGATGATACCTATCTCCACTGTCACTCTATAGCACCTAAGCTGCTTGCCACCATGCAGCTTAGTGGTACCACCAAGCACCATCTGGTACTTCCTGGTAAACTGACCAACCAGTGTGTCAGTGTCCCAAAATGGTATCCCAAGGGGAAGAAAAGTGCCCAGAGTCTATGAGATCAGATGATGAAGATGCTCACCAATGAGGTGTCTTTGATGCAGGCCCACAAAGCCGTACTGATGTCCATGTAGTATAGACACAGGCAGCTCCTACTGATCCTATCTAGAGCACAGTTGCCCAAGTCAGCTTTTGCAGTGAATGGCAAGGGGTGCAGAAAAACCACATACAGCAGCTATGCCAGCTCATCTAGCTGAGCTTTCCCCTCTCCAGGATCATCTGTCTTCTGCCATGCAGCTGTGTTGAACAGGGCTGTGGTGGGCCACCACCCCTGACTCTTCCAAGTTTTCATAGTGGTGATGGCTGTGTTCCATACAGGAAGGTGGTTTTGCCTTTATTTTTGGAAGGAGGAGGTAGGTCTAGTGGCTTCTATTGGTACTTCCTGCCAAGAAAACACTTAGAATAACAGGAATGTGCCCGTCTAGTCAGCCTCTAGAAGAGTGAACACAACAAGGGTTTATTGTGGTTTGTGGTTCCCTCATGGCAGGGAATGCATAGCAACAGCCAGGGCAAGCATGGAAGCAGGGGCTGGAGATTGACTGCTTGTATTTTCATCTGCATGCAATAAGCAGAGCAGGGATAGCAGTGCAGGAGGTGGCACTACAAAACTTCAAAGTCCCGCCCAGTGACGTGCTTTTTTCAGCAAGGCTCCACCCTTTAAAGGTTCTTTATCCTCCCAAACAGCACCAACAACTGGGGACCATGTATTAAAATATGGAGCCTACAGTGGAG